TTAAGAATTACACCTAGGCTCTTACTTCAAGGATAATTTGTAAAAAAAAAAAAAGTTAAATTCCTTCTTCATATTTGTAAAAATCAAATATTACAAACTACAAAAAAGACCAAAAATCAATTAAAATGGATCCGAGGGAGTAATCTAATCACGTAATTAATCACTTAAAATTCAATTTACATAGAGTTTAAGTTCTAGGGGACGATATAAATAGTTACACCAATAAAAGTTCTTAAAAAATAATTGTAGAATACTATATTTAATAAATACGAATAATATTTTACTTTTCGTAACTATTCAGAAATATACGAGGAAGATACCATTTCTGCTTTCGATTAAAGTGATTATCTACTCGTATTTCTATATAGTACTAGGAATATTTTTAGGTCTTTACGTACATAGATTCTAATAAGAATTTGTCTTTGTCACGTCCGAAATTTCAATTGCGGGGCCGTGACATTGTCTAACGTTCACTTGCTAGGCAAGCCAACACTAGTACATAATTAATTTGGAAGCAATTTAATAAGAAATGATATAATAACCCAAATTTGGTGTCACAAGTACACGAGCATACTAGAAGTGCTACAACCAAATGTCTAAATGAAAATACAACCGTTTGAAATAAAATAAAACTAGATAAGGAAGGAGACTTCAGGGCTGCGATCGCCGTGCAGCTATACCTCAAGTCTCCGGGATAGAAAGCTAATCCGAGCGAGCATCCACTAGCTATTGCTGGGACCAACACCAGAATCTGCACAAGTACAGAAGTGTAGCATGAGTACAACCGATCCCATGTACTCTGTAAGTGTCGATCCTAACCTCGATGAAGTAGTGACGAAGTTATAACAAGGCACTCACTATAAACCTGTACGAATATAATGAAATAACGACAAAACAGATATAATATGAAAACTGGAACAAAAATTACATAACAGAGGGCCCCAGAATAACATCAAAGCTCAATTTTCTCAATACAACACGGTTACAGAAAACAACAGCTCATATAGTTAAATATATCTCCTCTGTGGCGGTGCACAAGCCAATCCACAAATATAAATAAATAATGTCTTCTCCATTGCGGCGCGCAATCCGATCTACAAATATAATTAAATAATATCTTCTCCTTTATGGCGTGCAAACCCGATCCAAAATATAAATATACAAATACCATTGCGGCATGCAATCCGATCCCAAATAGTAATATCAATATCTGTTGCGGCGTGTAACGCGATCCCACACAATAACACATACAACCGTTGCAGCGTGCAACCCGATCCGATAGAATAATAATATAAATGTACAATTACAAATAACTATGGCGTAACTCAAATAAAATACAATACCAGAGCTAATTTCATAATTAAAGATATAAAGCGGATAAAAGTAGCTATCTAACTACACATAAAGTCATAGAACAAGTAAAGACCGTCAATAAATGAGAACACAAATATATGAAAATAATTAGCAAATAAAGGCATGTAACGGATAAAGGCATAGATTTAACAAGTAAGAGCAAGTAACAATTAAAGTATTTAGCAAGTAATAACATGAATTAAATGAAGGCATGAAATAATTAAAAATAATAAATAATTATTCGAGCTTGCATGCTTAACCTGTGACTACGCATATAAACTCGTCACCTTGCTGTGAGCATGTGATTTTTGCCTCGCATGATTTACTCCTACAGAATTCTTAGATTTATGATTTTTCCTTTTATTATTTAATTTTTAGGAATTGATTGCATAATTTCCATGTTTATTTGCATTTCTGTGTGCATTTTTAATTTAGCATAAATTCATAAAATAAAAAAAATAAAAAATAAAAATAAATACAAAAATACGCATTGCATTTGCATTTAGGATTTAATTTTACATATTTTTAGATTAATTAATAATTAGTATTTTACAAAAATACAAAAATCACAAAATTGAGTTATTTTTGCTTTGTTTAATTTTCAGCTTTGAATTTTGTGAATTTTCTTTAAATTGGTATTTTATTAATAGTGTTGATTGTTAATTAGAGCTTCATATGATTTGGTAGGTTAATTTAGTTTTTAGAATTAATTTAGGGTTTTTAGTTTAATTTTGAAAAGAAAAGAAAAAGAAAAGGAAAAGGAATTTTGGTAATTTGTCTTGAAAATGGAAATGAAATGAAGAGAAGAAGAAATTGGGCCAGTCTCGTTTAAATTGATCAGGCCCAAATCGCTCCACCTTTTTCAATGCCCGTCCAGCCCAATCCACATCCCAACCCGGTCTAGTCCCGCCCCTCACCCAAACGACGTCGTTTCGTCTAAGATGATCAGGACCGTCGAGGTAAGGAGATCCAGCGGCCCTGAAGTGGTCTCTAATAGGTATAAAACTGTCCAAACGGACCCTACCCCCCTCAGAACCCCCTACCCCCTCGTCTCTCTCATGCTCATCAGAGATCAGCCTTAACCCCGCTTTCCACCGCCGCCTGCCGCCCGCCGGAAATCGCCTGCGGCGACGGCCGGTGGCCAATCGTCACCAAACTCACACTAGAGCCCCCTCTCCCTTCCCTCATCACGAATCCACCATTAGTTTCCCTCGAATCCAGCCGAAAACCTCCAAAATCCCCAAACCCTAGGGCGCCGCCATGGATTCCTCCGCCGTGTCCGGCGGCGCCACCACCCAATCGCTCCCAAATTAATACCCTAGAGCCTCCTTGACCCCCTCTTCCTAAATCCCAGACCAGTTACCTTCGAATCTTAGCCAAATCCCTCGAATTTCGAATCTGAGATCGAACCCTATTCTTTTAAAATCGAGATTTCATGGAAGATTTAGGTTTGTTTTGACTTTAGTCGTGTGTTCTTGGTAAGAACACACGATTAACGTCAAAATTAGCCGAAAATTGAAGGTCGAAAAGTTCATTTCTGTTCGTTGAATGTCCAAGCCATTTAGGTATTTTTTCTTTTTCTTTTTTCCTGCTTTCCTTGCATCATTAGGTTTTATTTCATCACCTTCTATTATTTCTTTTCTTCTGATTTCTTCTCGTTTTTCTGGTTCTCCAAATTCAGTTATTTTTATACATGTTAGTATTGGGTTTAATTAGCATGATTCTATTCGGTGTTAGATGTTGTTTGAATGTTTTTTCTGTTTATTTTTTTTTTCCTTTGGGTCTAAAACCTGATAAGTCATTGTGATTCCGTAAGGCAGTAGTTTAGTGATTCTTGGTTGTCAATAGGAATTTGTTTCTTGAAATTGAAAGCCCAACAAAATAAAGGATTCAGATTAGGTTCTCGAAGGCCCATTCCTGAACCATTGGGTCAAAATTTGACCCATGAGATTTCAAAGTAATTTCAGGGTTGTTCGGGGGTAATTTGGGTAGTTTTAAGTTAGGGAATCTTGCAGTAACAGAATAGGAAGGTCCTAGAAGCTTCTAGTGTGGGGTTCTAATTTCAATTTCAGGCTTTTAGGTAGTATAACTTGGGTAGCAAGTCAGAAAGTGATGGATTTTTGGCAAAAAAATAAAATTAAGGGGGGGGGGGGGGGGGGCTAAAGTGCAAAATTAAAATCTGAAGCTTGCCCTACTTGCTTTCCTATAAAAGCATTGTGTCCTTGCCTTGCAAGATAGACGGGGAAGAGATTTAACAGCTAAAAATCCTGCAATTTTGAGAGTTAAGAGATCCTGAAAATCAAAATAGCTGTAAACTTTGCAAAAAATACTGTTCCATTAATAGTTTCTCTTGAGGTTTTCATTTCCAAAACAATTCTTGATTATTCGAGGGTTGAAAAATGAGTTGAATATTGTTGGTATTCAAGTGTTTGGTTCATTTTGGTTGGATATTCGATTACTAGGTTTTATTCAACATTCCACTAGTTCGAAATTGCTTAAAAGCTAGGCGTTCCTTGATTTTCCTGGGCTGGTATTATTGCTGTTTGCTGCTGCCTATCAGTTTGTTGAATATGATTTATTTGCTTTCATTATTCCAAGTACAAGTTCTGAACCTTTTACGATGTAAAGACTAATTTGAAGATGAAATGAAAGCACTATTATGCTTTAGTGTTGTTTC